TGATGTCCCAGTGCCTGTATGGCTCTGGATGGGGAGGAATAGGCTCAAGCTCAACCCTTCCAAGACTGAGTGGCTGTGGCTCCCGGCATCCCAATATAGTCAGGGTGCCATCAGCCAAACAATGTAGGCTGGTGTTCCCCAGGGGAAGGGCCTTCTCTGTGGGGGCACCTACCCTCTGGAATCAGTTGCCCCCAGAGATAAGGAGAATCCAAGACCTCAGTGCCTTCTGCCGTGCCCTTAAAACCCATTTTTTCCAGCAAGTTGGGCTGGCTTAAGAAGAATTTTTTTAAATGTTTTAATTGGTTTGTGATTTTTAATTTTTGGGCCAAATTTATATATTTTTTTAATTGTTTTTAATATTTGTATTTCATGTTCTTAATTCTGGCTGTACACCACCCTGAGTCCTCAAGGAGAAGAGCGGTATATAAATTGGAAATAAAATAAAAATAAATAAAATAAGTATGACAAAATCACTCAGATTCGGGAAGATCTGGACTCCAACTGGGTAGTCTCAGGGGGAGGGACTGTGGCAGTTCTTGAGAATGTTATCTGGGATGAGTTTGATCCTGTGACTCCTGAGGACGTGGACAGGATTCTGGGTAGACTGAACGCGACCACATGTTTGTTGGACCCGTGTCCCTCCTGGTTAGTGCTGGCTTCCCGGGAGGTGACACGAGGCTGGCTCCAGGGGATTATAAATGTTTAATTGGGTGAGGGTGACTTTCCCGCCACCTTGAAAGAGGCGGTGGTGAGGCCTCTCCTCAAGAAGCCTTCCCTGGACCTGGCAATGTTGGTTAATTATCGTCCGGTCTCCAACCTTCGCTTTGTGACGAAGGTTGTTGAGAGCATGGTTGCGCAACAGTTCCCCCAGCACCTGGATAAAACGACGTATCTGGATCCATTCCAGTCGGGTTTCAGGCCTGGGTACAGCACAGAAACGGCATTGGTCGCGTTGGTTGATGATCTCTGGAGGGCTCGAGACAGGGGTTGCTCCTCTGTCCTGGTCCTATTAGATCTCTCAGCGGATTTTGATACCATCGACCATGGTATCATGCTGCACCAGTTGGAAGAGTTAGGGTGGGAGGCACTGTGTTGTGGTGGTTCTCCTCCTTTCTCTCCGACCGGTTGCAGTCTGTGTTGGCAGGGGGGCAGAGGTCGACCCTGAGGCCCCTCATATGTGGGGTGCCTCTCGCCCCTCTTGTTCAACATTTATGTAAAGCCGCTGGGTGAGATCATCATCCGTGGTTTCGGGTGAAGTACCACCAGTACGCTGATGACACTCAGCTGTACATCTCCACCCCGGACCACCCCAACGATGCCCTTGAAGTGATGTCCCAGTGCCTGGAGGCCGTGCGGATCTGGATGGGGAGGAATACGCTCAGGCTCAACTGATCCAAGACCGAGTGCTGTGGTTTCTGACATCCCGATATAGTCAGTTGACACCATCACTGACTATTGGGGGCAAATCATTGGCCCTCACAGAGAGGGCTCGCAACTGGCCGCGCGGGTGGTAATGGGAGCGACATGGCATTCCCATGTAACACCTCTCCTGTGCGAGCTGCACTGGCTCCCGGTGGTCTTCTGGGTGCGCTTCAAGGTTTTGGTTACCACCTTTAGAGTGCTCCATGACTTAGGACCTGGTTATCTATGGGACCGCCTACTATCACTAATAGCCTCCTACTGGCCTGTACGCTCTCATAGAGAGGGGCTCCTCCGGGTGCCGTCGGCCAAACAATGTTGACTGGCGGCCCCTAGGGGAGTGCTTTCTCTGTGGGGGCATCTACTATCTGGAATGAGCTCCCCCGGAGATACGGAGGATCCCAGATCTGCGCACCTTCCGCCGCGCTCTCAAGACCTTTTTATTCCACCAGGCAGGCCTGGCCTAATCTTTTCCCTTTTTCTTTTTAATATGAAAATTTTAATCTGTTTTTAAATGATTGGGGTGTTTTAAATCTGTCTGGGCCAAATTGTTTAATTCGGTTTTATTCTGTTTTAAATTTTGTATTTATGTATTTTATCGTTTGGCTGTTCACCGTCCTGAGTCCTTCGGGAGTAGGGCGGTATATAAATCAAATAAAGAAGAAAGAAAGAAAGAAGGTGACTGGCTCGAAGTCCGCTATCAAGATCGGCTGTAGTTATTAAGGTTTTCAAGACCTCCTAAAAATGCAGGGATGGAGAACCAAGTACCATAACTTTGAAAAAAGAAATAGATATTTGGGTGAATATGAATAAGATTGTGAATAGTCAAGGAGGGAAGGAAAGGGAAGGGAAGGGAAGGGAAGGGAAGGGAAGGGAAGGAAGGAAGGAAGGAAGGAAGGAAGGAAGGAAGGAAGGAAGGAAGGAAGGAAGGAAGGAAGGAAGGAAGGAAGGAAGATCTGAGTCAATATGAAAAAATGTCTGGGTAGTCTTATATAGAAATATGGTCATCCTCAATCCACCCATCCTGGAAAGAATTGTGGGCAGAAAGTATTTTGACAATGTGGACAGATCCTATTTTGCTTTAGAAGAAATGGAGGAGAGATTGAAGCATCTTTGAGGAAAAAGTGCAGAGATCTGTCATTGCCTGCATCATGGCCTGCATTCATCAAGGCAAAGGATACCATCTAACTGACAAATGGCATCGTTCGGATCTTTAATTAACAAAAGGCTTTGAAAAGAAGTGTGATAACATTTTTGGTTCAAAGCAGGGACAGTAGACACCTGCAGCATAGTGGTAGTGGAAGAGCAAAGTAGTGGCAGATATAAAGAAAGAATTTGGGAGCGGGATTGAAAAAGACTTTGAAGGGGTGACCCTGGTTTGACATTTCTATCCACTTCTAGGCCAATAGTTGAAATCAATCTTGAAAGTTTTCCCTTCTCTATTAGGATTTGTCTTCATTTTGCATATTTTACTGTTCTCCGTAACAAATATCTCTTGTTAATCTGTAATTGTTTTGGGACCAAGTTAAATGCCACTCTGAATAGTAAACTATTGGGCATATGCTTTTATCCTATCCTGCCAAATCCTATCCTGTTATAATACTATCATTATCAAATTCTTGTCTGAATTCTCAGTGGAATTCTAGATGCTGCAGGCAAGAATATCAAGACTAAATGACACCAAAAATCGTCCTTATATCTTGAAGAGCTTTTACAGCAGAAAGTCAGAAAGCCCAATTTTCATCAGATCTTTTCCTGATACTTTATGCTCTGTCCTTCAGAGGGAAGCTGCTCAGGGACATTTAAATTACAGATAGGGAGAGATAAGCAGGCAGCTTCTTGAAATGATGGTTAAGATTCCAGTGCTGGTACTGTTGCAGTCTCAGATAATGTACAGCTTTGCTCTTGTTCAATGTCTGGTCAGTGAACCTCTTCCCATTCCCAAATATTTAAAGACAGGACAACTGAACCTTGGTGTCATAACGTTCCAAATCTATATGCTTTCTGAACCACTCTTGTTTGAAATCCCACCCTCACATGAAAACCCTGGATTCCCTTTGTAAGGCATTTTAATTGGTTACATTGGTTAAAAGAACTGCTCATGCTGTGACTATCCTGACTCTGTCTCTACATTCTCTGGTTGTTGAACATTAGTCAATGTATTTCATGAGCCACATTTATTAATGTGATATTATTATGCTACAATGCTGGAAAATGTAGGCTCTAAAATTTCTGCTCCCATCATCTGCAAAAGCTAAGCCACTTAAGGAAAACTTGCCTTGCCTTTGATTTGACTTGACTTGACTTAATTACTTTTCATTTCTCAAGGTTCCTAGTCTTATGCTTTAAATTTCCCTTAACTTTCTGATATTATTTTGCCATCAGTCAATCTTTACAGAGATTCCCCTGGAAAGTTATATATGAACTAATTTATTATTGTCTAAACTCTCCAAAATCATAGTCTATTTTCTCAGATGCTTCTGAGAAAAAGGGCTTTACTTTCCCAATGAAATCACATCTCTTTCTTTATCTTAATATATTTAAACGTGAATTAATAAAAAATAAAGTTAAGGAATATATATGTATATGTATATGATTAAGAATAGAAAAAATAGAATTTGAGAGAGAAAGAAGATACTGTTTATAGAAATAAGAATAGAAAAATTAAGATTTGATTAATATGGAAAAAGAACACTTTGGCAGAAACTGTAAGTAAGTAAAATATATTTGGATATGATAAATTATATATGATATGATATGATATGATATGATCAATACTCTGTTTCAAAAAATATGTGGGTGTGTTTTGGGTGGGGGAACCAATAAAACTTGTCAAAAAAACAAACAAATCACATCTAAGGGGCATGAACTATGTGCTTCATAGTTTTTTATTTTGTTTTGTTCTTTTATTTTGTCGAGTACATATTAGATAATATATATAAGTATAAGCATGAATTGAATACATAAAATGAATACAATTAAAGGGAACATTAGGACAGGGACGGTAGGCATGCTGGTGCTCTTATGCACGCCTTTTACAGACCTCTTAGGAATGGGGTGAGGTCAACAGTAAACAGTCTTAGGTTAAAGTTTTGGGGATTTTGGGATGAGATCACAGAGTCTGGTAGTGCATTCCAGGCATTAACAACTCTGTTACTGAAGTCATATTTTCTGCAATCGAGTTTGGAGCGGTTCGCTTTAAGTTTGTATCTATTGTGTGCTCGTGTATTGTTGTGGTTGAACCTGAAGTAGTTATTGACAGGTAGGACATTGTAGCAGATGATTTTATGAGCTATGCTTAGGTCATACCGAAGTTGATATGTTGGATCTGGACAATTTTCCTATTTCCAAGGGCTCATTTTGAGATGAAAGGTAAAAATAGGTCTTTCCTGTCACTTGATATCAGGCTAAAAAAAAAAGTGTCACAATAGTTCTCTTCCAGCTTAAAAATGCCAGAGCAATTGTCATTGGAAAGCAATGCATAGTTCATTCTGATAGATAGTAGTGAATTAATATCATCATCTTACAGGTACTTGACACACAACTATCAGCATATTCTGGCCTTGGAATTTGCTTTGAAGGAAATCAATGAAAACCCTCACCTCCTACCCAACATCACCTTGGGCTTCCACATTTACAACAGCAACTTCATTGGAAGCTGGACCTATCGTGGTGCCCTGGAGCTTCTTTCAACAAAGGACAAGTTCATCCCCAATTACAAGTGTGATGGCCAGAACAATGAAGTCGCTGTCATTGGAGGACCCTATACAAAAATCTCTCTGGATATGGCAAATATTCTGTGCAACTACAAGGTACAACAGGTGAGGTATGCTCCCCTTTTCTCCCCAGCCATGCAAATGAATCTTAGATTTCCTTCCTTCCTTCCTTCCTTCCTTCCTTCCTTCCTTCCTTCCTTCCTTCCTTCCTTCCTTCCTTCCTTCCTTCCCAACAGCAGGTTAGGAAGGTTGAGGTTATAATCTCAAATGGTTACTAATTTGTGGGATACTTACTTAAAGCATTCATTTCAATGAGAAAAAACACGAGGGTTGAGTTTTCACAAGGATTCTAATCAAAGAAAAGAATTAAGAACATTAAAATAATGAACACTTCACAAATTAAAACATAAGTCTGTTGTGGCCAGCTTGCATGCTTTTCTTTTGGTCAGTTTCTATTTTTGTTTCTCATACAAAATTACAAAAAAGGACATGATACGTTAAGATGTTCAGTGAATCCAATGACTAGGCAAAGCATTACACACTATAAACTATAAACTGTCTTTACGCAATGCATTAATTCTGTCACTAAATGTTGCATGCTTATTACTTTAACACCTTCCAGTTATTTTTCCTACTATAGCTCATCTATGGTTCTGCTCCTACAAATAATCATGGAGACGTTTTCCAATGGATGTTCCCTAACAATATACTTCAATACAAGGGAATTCTCCAATTGTTGTTACATTTTGGGTGGACATGGATTGGGATGATTTCTCTGAACTATGAGGATGGCGATTGGTTTATAGCGACTGTGGTTTCAATGTTTGCCCAGAGAGGAATCTGCTTTGACTTTATTAAAAGTTTCCCCAAAAAGACATACACTCATGAGTTCTCTGATATGTTAGAGGATGGAAATGAACTATATGACACTCTCATGGCAAGCACAGCGTCTGCTGTGGTTGTACAAGCTGAATTTATGCTGACTATGAGGTTGTTGTTCTCTTATCAAGGTCCATCAAAAAACGAGAAAGTCTGGATCATGATAGCCCAGATGGATTTCACTTCCACTTCTATGCAAAGGGACTGGCCTCTACACTACATTCATGGTGCTATATCCATTGTGGTTCACTTAAGTGACTTGGTCGGATTTCAGGATTTTGTTAGGGAAAGAAATCCGGCCACCAATGAAGAAGATGGCTTTCTCAAGGAGTTTTGGGAAGATGCGTTTCAATGTGCGTTTCCCAACTCCAGTGGAGTGAAGAATTTTGATGGTCTTTGCACTGGGGAGGAGAAGATAGAGACTCTCCCTTCTTCGATTTTTGACATGAACATGAATAGCCACAGTTACACCATCTACAATGCCGTCTATGCTGTGGTACATGCCTTGCATGCTCTGTATTCATTCAAAAGGAAACACACAGTTTTGCCAGATACAAGTCAACTGAATCTTCGCCATCAAGAATTTTGGCAGGTATCCTTTTGAGTTTCTGTATGTATTTTATAAATTCTCTCTCCCCCCCCCATTATGTGTGATATGTTTTGTCTTCAATCTTGAGTCCTCTTCCAGACAGCCAGGAATTTGGTGTGCTTGCACAATATCTTAGCTGTTTCTACTTCTGCATTCTTCTGGACAGAGAGATCTGATGTAGTTTCTGGATTTTATTGGAGCCACTCTCCCACCTTAGGTGTCATAGCCCCAAGTGTTCCCACTACACCTGGAATCACTTTGTTCTTCAGTTCCCAGATCAGACCATGGTATTTCTCCAGCTTCTCATTTTTCCTGATGTTGCTGTCATTCTGCACCACCTTTGTCTTTCGGTCCTTGAGTGCTATGATTATTTCTGGTTGATTGACTACTACCTGCCCATCTGTCCAGATCTGGAAGTCCGACAAAATCTTAGCTTGTGGGATCTCCCATCTGGACTTAGGAGGATCTAGCCCTTACTCTGTGCAGATATTCCTGTTCACAATGTCATCTATTTGGTTGTGCCCTTTACTGTATGCTGTTCCTGACTTCATTTTACAGACCTGAAATATGTGTTGAACTGTCTCTGAGACCTCTCTGCATAGTCTGCACCTTAGATCCTGTCATGATTTTAGACAGCTTCGATGTGCCTGTTCTTGTGCTACTATGATGAATGCCTCATGCTGCCTTTTGGTTCAGCCATTGGTAGGACTTCCCAATGTCTGTCACTTTAGCTATCTGATGGAAGAAGGAGGAGGAGGGGGGAGGAGGAGGAGGAGGGATAAGAAGAAGAAGAAGAAGAAGAAGAAGAAGAAGAAGAAGAAGAAGAAGAAGAAGAAGAAGAAGTAGAAGAAGAAGAAGAAGAAGAAGGTTGGAAGAGGAGAGAGGAAAAGTGGAAATATCATAGACTTTCTAAAAACTAAAAAAAAAACAAACCTACCTCATGAGAACTATCTCAAATAACAATGGGTGAGCCTGCCAGGAGAGCAAGAAGCAGAACCAGAAGAAGAAGACCTCACGAGAGAAATGCTAGTTATCAAGTATTCATAGATTTCATAGAATAACAGAGTTGGAAGGGACCTTGGAGGTCTTCTAGTCCAACCCCCTGCTTAGGCAGAAAAACCTACACCACCTCAGAAAATGATTATTCAACATCTTCTTAAAAACTTCCAGCGTTGGAGCATTTATAACTTCCCATGCAGGGTTTTGTCTTGCCATGACACTTCCTCGAATTGATTTTCCTATCATGTCCTCTCTTACCTCAGGAATTCTGTCAGCAGCTCATCTTTGGGTGCCATCTTACTGATGTTCTACTGGATGTCCTGGGGCTTATTCAGAACAATGGATCCTATTGTTCTGAAATAATACTTAAAGGATATTATGACAAAAAACAATAATTAATCAAGAAAATATTGTAGGCCTCTTTCTTCCAAAAGTCCTTTAAATATTTGTCTAGTCAATTTTATAACATCTTTGTTTCTTTTTCTCATTGAGTTGCATCATTTTCTGAGGACTGTCTCATTTAACAATAATGCTGGGGAGCCTGTTTCCTTTGATGAAAGTGGGCAATTGGTGTCAGGATTTGACATAATCAACTGGATCACCTTGCTAAACCAGTCCCTCCTTAGAGTCAAAGTTGGAAGTTTAGAGGTACATACATCTGAAGAAATGAAATTCACCATTCAGGAGAAGGCCATTGTTTGTCCCACCAGTTTTAAACAGGTAAACTGGAGGGATCTGTTGTGTGATTGTGCCTTCAAATACAACATTAATATAAGCAAAGATTCCAAGATCACATTCTATCAGAGAAGACCCCAAACTCTTAAGCTCTTTAACTTCCCTTCACAAAGTCATAGATTGTTCATCAAACCCCAAATATTTATTACATGAAAATAATTCCCTTCACAGACAACATGAAAAACAAAGCTTACAAGAAGCTTCTTCTAGCAGAAATCCCCAAGTTCTTCAGCTCTTTGGCTTCCCTTCATGAAGTGTTAGATTGTTCACCAAACTCCAAATGTTTATTATATCAGTTTAAGAAATAGTACTTTAACTAATATTACACTAATGACAACAGCAACAACAATGGAAAGTCTCATAAATCTTTGGAAGTCTGTCCTGACCACTCTGAAGGACACTATTCTTTACTTTGCCAAAGTAAAGTATGCCAAAGTCGTACTTTTGTTTGTTATATATGTTTTTTTTATCTATACCGTATTTTTTGGAGTATAAGACGCACCTTTTTCCCCCCTAAAAGGGGGTGAAAATTTAGGTGCATCTTATACACCGATTGTAGCCCTGCCCACCCACTCCCCACACCCCTTGGCCTCTGCCTCCCAGCAGTGAACTCCTTGCAGCAAAAGCAAGAAAAAGCAGCTCCTTTCAGATTCAGCACAGCCTAATTAGCACAAGTTGATTGGATCGGCCTCCCAACTCTCAGATGCTTTGCTCTCAGCTGTTTTGCTCAGGCCTCTGCTGCTTGCTGCAAGGAAGAAAATTGCTGGAGTAGATTTTTTTTCCCCTTGTGCTAATCAAGCTATGCTGAAAATGAAAACGAAAGAAAGCAGCCTGTTTGCTGTTTGCTGCAACGAGGCAAAATTTGCTCAGAGGCAGAGGCAGAAGGAGATTCCTTTTTCTTCTTTTCCTCACCAAAAAAGGTAGGCGCGTGTTATAGTCTGGTGCGTCTTATACTCCGAAAAATACGGTAATTACCATCTTTCCTATAGATTTGTGGAATAATAAAATACTGCTGCTCTTTGAGGCAAATATATATACATACATATATATATAACCTGAGTTCAGCATTCTCCTTTTCTCTGTTGTCCTTTCAGGTTCAGCCCCTTTCAGTGTGCAATGATCACTGTCTTTCAGGTCAAAGAAAAACTGTGAAAGAAGGGAAACTGTTCTGTTGCTATGGTTGTCTTCCATGTGCAGAAGAAAAGATTTCAGCACAAGAGGGTAAGATGTGCATCAATAGAATTTGTTGATTGAATAAGATATAATGTGTTGGTTGGTTAATTTCTGTCTCTATTATTCAAGCTTCTTTGCCTCCCATTTCACTTGAAAATTAAAATTTTCACACCTTAGAATATGACGGACACGTTTCCACTACATTCTAATACATAAAGTCTCAGATGTGTAATTTTGCGTTCAGTTGCAGCAATATAAACAATGTATTATGTTCTTTTTCAGATGCTGATGAGTGTGTCCTATGTCCAGGAGATCAGTATGCAAATTTCCATCAAAATGCATGCATTGTTAAAGAGATCTCCTTCTTATCTTACCAAGACAATTTAGGAATTACATCTTTGGTGTTTGCATTCTTTTTTGCTTTCATGACAGTACTTGTGCTTGCTATCTTCATTAAGCACAATGACACACCTATTGTCAAAGCCAACAACCAGAGCCTCTCCTACCTTCTCCTCACCTCTCTTCTCTTCTCCTTCCTTTCTGCTTTCCTTTTCATTGGTCAGCCTACCGTACTGACATGTCTCCTTCGACAAGTTGCTTTTAGTTTCATATTTTCAGTAGCAATTTCTTGCGTGCTGGCCAAGACTATCATCGTAGTTCTTGCTTTCATGGCCACCAAGCCAGGATCTGGAATGAGGAAATGGGTAGGAAACAGATTGGCTACTTCGATTGTCTTTTCTTGCTCCTTTCTTCAAGCTTGTCTTTGTGCAATTTGGCTGGCAATCTCTGCCCCATTTCCAAATTTTGACATGTATTCCCTGCATAAAGAAATTATACTGGAATGTAATGAAGGGTCAACCTACATGTTTTACTGTGTTTTGGGCTTCATGAACTTTCTTGCCCTAATCAGTTTCATGGTTGCTTACCTAGCTAGGAACCTGCCTGACACGTTTAATGAAGCCAAGTTCATCACCTTCAGCATGCTGATCTTCTGCAGTGTGTGGTTGTCATTTTTCCCAGCCTATCTGAGCACCAAGGGCAAACACATGGTGGCTGTGGAAATCTTCTCCATCTTTGGCTCCAGCGCAGGGTTACTGGCTTGCATTTTTTTACCCAAATGTTACATTATTATTTTACGGCCTAAACTAAATAAAAGAGAACAACTAGTGAAGAGGAAGAAATAATATCTTATTATTACTTCTTTACTGAGCATCGCTGACAATTCCATGTGATAAGCAGGATATTTACCTTTGAAAATAAAGTTTATGAAAATATCTCAGTCTTATGGAAGCGTTTGCACTTTAGAAATATCCCTAGCCTTAAATGAAAGCATGTTATATTTTAAAATACTAATGCTAGTGTTTGTACTCTTTTTTTAAAAAAAAGAACTAATTTCTTATATAGTGAAAGGAGAACATACTTGTTCAAGGATGTTTTTGACTAAAAGACAGAAATTAATTCCAAACATTAATTTTAATCTCCCTATTCTATTCTTTTAGTCACTTATCATATTGCAGACATATCTGACAGATTTAGTTTTGCTATCTCTATACCATTACTCTGCAGAGGAAGATAAACCATGTCCTTTAGTGTCTGTAGTCTGGCCAGCAACTCCTAGTCCTCTCCAGGTAATCCAGATAAATTAAAAGAATATATAATCCCTGGCCTGCTCTCGAATTGCTATAGGCAAGGGGGATGGGAAACCGACGAAGCAGCACGTCGGCCAAAAACAGAAGTACATTCCAGACATAGATCTCTCAAGGCTGTCTCCCAGGGTTACCCAAAGCGGCGGGAGGGGAGTGATCTCTACAGCCCGTGAAATTGCTCCATTGGTGAATGTGATTGATGATACACCCGGTGGGGGGGGAGAGAGAGGGGAAACAGGGTCATGATTGGGTTGTAAATTACTGGGGTCAGAGTTGGCTTCACCTGGAATGTGCTGACATGAAGCTCCTAATAAATAACTGGATTTCTTTTGAAGTTTGGCTCGAGGCTCATGATTTAATTAGGGTATCCGTCAGAACCCTGACACTCCTATTTACTGTATTCATCAAGAAAATATGAGTATTGCATGTCAGCAGTGGGCTTCTATAGTCCATTGTATATTAGAGACTTCTGTAGTTCCTCAAGGAACTACAGTTCCCTAGTTACTTGAGAAGTCAACATGATTCCACTGAATATAGAAACTCTCCCTTCTTCAATTTTTGACATGAACATGAATAGCCACAGTTACACCGTCTACAATGCAGTCTATTCTGTGGTACATGCCTTGCATGCTCTATATTCATTCAAAAGGAAACATACAGTTTTGCCAGATAAAAGTCAACTGAATCTTCTCCATCAAGGATCATGGCAGGTATCATTTTCTGTATGTATGTATGTATGTATGTATGTATGTATGTGTATATGTACATGTACATGTACATGTACATGTACATGTAAATGCATGCATGTATAATTTACATTCTATTCTCATCCTTATTGGTTGTGTGTGTTCTGTCATCTCCTTACTAGAGACTTAGGAGTTTGTGGCATTGTGCAGCATCTCAGCTGTTTCTGGCACTGCGCTCTTTGGGATAGAGAACTGTGATGTAATTCCTGGGATTTTTTGGAACCATTTTATTTATTATTTATTATTTATTTATTATTTAAATTTGTATACCGCCCTTCTCCCGAAGGACTCAGGGCGGTGAATAGCCAAAAATTAAAATACATACAATATAAAATTTAAAATAATTTAATACCGAATTAAATCGAATTGGCTTCCCCAAATTTAAAACCCATTACCCTTAAAATAACCCATTTAGAATTTTAAGCCAGCCCAGCTTGCTGAAATAGGAAGGTCTTCAAAGCTCAATGGAAGGTCCGGAGGTCCGGGATCAGTCGTATTCCTGGGGGTAGCTCGTTCCAGAGGGCAGGTGCCCCCACAGAGAAGGCTCTCCCCCTGGGGGTCATCAGTCAACATTGCTTGACCGACGGCACCCTGAGGAGGCCCTCTCTGTTGGAGCGAATTGGCCGGTGGGAGGTTTTCGGTGGCAGAAGGTGGTCTCGTAAATAACTGGGCCCTAAGCCATGGAGCGCTTTAAAGGTGAGAACCAATACCTTGAAGCGCACCCAGAAGACCACCAGAAGCCAGTGCAGCTCGCGCAGGCAAGGCGTTACATGGGAGCGCCATGTCGCCCCCATAATTACCTGCACGACCGCATTCTGGACCAGCTGGAGCCTCCGGGTGCTCCTCAAGGGGAGCCCCATGTAGAGAGTATTGCAGTAGTCCAGGCGAGAGATGACGAGGGCATGAGTGACCGTGCATAGGGAGTCCCGATCCAGAAAGGGATGTAACTGGCGTATCAGGCGAACCTGATAGAAAGCCCCCCTGGCCACAGCTGTCATATGCTCTTCTAAAGACAGCCGTGTGTCCAGGAGGACACCCAAGTTACGAGCCCTCTCTGTGGGGGCCAATGACTCGCCCCCAATAGCCAGCGATGGCACCAGCTGGCTATATCGGGACACCGGCAGCCACAGCCACTCGGTCTTGGAAGGGTTGAGTCGGAGCCTGTTCCTCCCCATCCAGACCCGCACGGCCTCCAGGCACCGGGACATCACTTCAAGGGCATCGTGGGGTGGTCTGGGGTGGAGATGTACAGCTGAGTATCATCAGCGTACAGATGGCATCGCACCCCAAATCCACAGATGATCTCACCCAGCGGCTTCACATAAATGTTGAACAGGAGAGGCGAGAGGACCGACCCTTGTGGCACCCCACAAACAAGGTGTCTCGAGGTCGACCTCTGCCCCCCAGCCAACACAGACTGTGACCGGTAGGAGAGATAAGAGGAGAACCACCGTAGGACGGTGCCTCCCACTCCCAACCCCTCCAGTCGGCGCAGCATGATACCAATGCCGTTTCCGTGCTGTACCCAGGCCTGAAGCCGGACTGGAATGGATTCAGATAGACAGTTTCATCCAGGTACTGTGGGAGCTGTCGCGCAACCACACTCTCGACAACCTTCGCCACACCATTTTCCCAGTTTAAGATTCATTTTGGCCTTTTGTTTCCACATATTCCACAGTTCTTTTTTCACACCCTTGTACTTCCCCAGCTACTCATAGTCCTTCTTTCTGATGTTACTTGGCATCGCTACGTCTATCACCACCACTGTCTTCTGGTTCTTGTCTACTATCTTGATATCTATTTCCTTGGCTACTACCAGCCCATCTGTCTGAATCTGGAAGTCCCATAAAATCTTAACTTTCTCATTCTCCATGACCTTCTGTGGGATCTTTCATTTAAACTAGCCTTTATTCTATGCAGATGTTTTTGTACACAATGCCAGCTACTTGATTTTGCCATTCAGTGCATGCTGTTCCTGCCTGTATTCCTACTACTATGTGTTGGACCTTGTCAAAGGCCTGTCTGCATAGTCTGTACCTTGGATCCTGTTTAGTGTGGCGGATCCCTGCTTCTATGGTTCTGGTGCCTGTCCTTGTGCTTTATGATCAGAGCCTTTGGTCCAGCCCTTTCCAGCTACTAATAGGATTTCCCAATGTTTGACACCACAGATATATGTTGGGAGCACATCCCTTGGAGGATCTTCTATTGCCATGGCATTGCTCTGATTCATTTTCCTGTCATGTCTCATGCTGCTTCAGGCATTCTCTCAGCAGCTCATCTTTGGATGCCCTCTTACTGATGTACTCCCGGATACTCTGCATCATGTTCAAGACAGTAGATTTCCTATTCATAAAGGAAAACTCTGGTAGAAAATAATAATTAATCAGGGATGAATTGAGGGCCTCTTTTTTTCCAAAAGTCCTTGTAGCTCTTTGTCTAGTCATTTTTATAAAACATTTCTCTCTTTTTCTCATTGAATTGCATCATTTTCTGAGGACTGCCTCATTTAATAATGCTGGGGAGCCTGTTTCCTTTGATGAAAGTGGCCAATTGGTGTCAGGATTTGATCTAATCAACTGGATCTCCTTGCCAAACCAGTCCCTCCTTAGAGTCAAAGTTGGAAGTTTAGATTTACATACTTCTGAAACAATGAAATTCACCATTTGGGATAAGGTCATTGTTTGGCCCACCAGTTTTAATCAGGTAGTCTGGATGAACCTGTTTGCAAAGTAAACTATGTCAAAAAAGTAAACCAAGTCTTTCTTTTATTTGCTACAAATTGAATGTTTTCTAAATTACCATCTTTTCTACAGATTTGTACAATAATACAATACCGCTGCTGCTTTGGTCATAATATAAATAAATGTATTTGCAGGTTGATACCATGAAATAAGTTGCTAAAGAAATCAGTAAATTTATTCTAATGGAATTCCCATACCTCCCGATTTTACATTATCATAAAATTATACACTGTCAGGTTTTGTCATTGTTCTATGCTCTACATAGTACTTATATGTCTCCAACTCATGGATGCTTCAATACAGAAATCCATTCAGATGGGATCAATTTAGTCAAATGAATCCTTTTAGTCGAACAATTTTTTGGAAAGAACAGAATAAAGAAAACAAAGAAGGAGGAAACTGTGATCACTTTCATCCAGTATGAGAAAAAACTAATATTCTCATCAACAGTACTTGGATAAACCCAAGTCAACACATTCATTTTGGAGTTTGAAGGTATATGATTTATGCTCTCCCCAAACAGTAACTACAAAGAAATAAAATACTCATTTCTAAAAAGATTCTCATTAGGCAAAATAAACCAAGTACAGAACTGCACAACATATTCCGTGCCAATTTTAATCGGTTGACTTTCCAGTGTTTTTTTATGATGACTTCATTGGCTTTGTTTAGATAGATTGCTGTTTTCTTGCATGTTTTATATGCATCAATTATTTAAAAGCCCCTTCATTGAACAGCGGATGTTGGAGAAAGATCTCTAAGAAGAATACACAAGAATTAATTAATTAATTAATTAATTATTCATGAATTAATTAATTCATCTCCTCTATAGCCCCCACTTTAACAACACTTAATTTAACATGCTGAGCCATGGTGGCACAGTGGTTAGAATGCAGTACTGCAGGCTACTTCTGCTGACTGCCATAGTTTGATTCTCTCTGGCTCAAGGTTGACTCAGTCTTCCATCCTTCCGAGGTCAGTAAAATGAGGAGCCAGATTATTGGGGGCAATATGATGACTCTGTAAATTGCTTAGAGAGGGCTGTAAAGCACTGTGAAGTGGTATATAAGCCTAAATGCTATTGCTATTCCTCTTTTCTCTGTTCTCCTTTCAGGTTCAGCCCCTTTCTGTGTGCAATGATCATTGTCTTTCAGGTCATAGAAAAACCATGAAAGAAGGGAAGCTGTTCTGTTGCTATGACTGCCTCCCATGTGCAGAAGGGAAGATTTCAGCACAACAGGGTAAGATATACATTAATTGTATTTGTACATTGAATAAGAAGTAATGTGTTGATTGGTTGATTTCTGCCTCTGTTATCGAAGATTCTTTGTCTCACCTCCCATTTCATTTGAAAGTTAAGATTTTCACACCTCAGAATATAATGGAGCTGAAGTTCTAATTCTGCTTACCAACGATCAGAATTGGGGGTGCAGAAGATGTATGTAATCCTTTTTTCTATCCATTCAAATAAACAAAATCTCAGACCATAATTTTGCTTTTATTTATACCATTCTCTCCTCATTACACGTTACCCTGTCTGTAGTTCAGCATGCAGCTAAGTCCTATCCAACCAAACCATGTATGAAAATCTTGATGCTTTATTTAAAAACAGGATGAGGTCAAACAGCGATGCTATATGTGGGATATAGATTTTGTCTTCAGAAAAATATGTGTCACAGATTAAGTCGGATTCTTCTACATGTTTCTGTTACTGCAGAACGTTACAAAATGGAATTTGGCTTTTCAGGATGTAAGGGTACTCTGTAGGGTCAAACACTATCAGACCAATTTCCAAACAATGAAATATTTGTTTTTGAATACTAGATGGAGCTCAAGACATGTTAAAGAACAACAGGAATAAAAATACTGAAATAATATACTGGAGGCATGACATATAAACAATGTACTCTCTTCTTTTTCAGATGTAGATGACTGTGTCCCATGTCCAGGAGAACAATATGCAAATTTCCATCAAAATGCATGCATTGTCAAAGAGATCACCTTCTTGTCTTACCAAGACTGTTTAGGTATTGTGTCTGTGGTGTTTGCATTCTCCTTTGCTTTCATGACAGTATTTGTGCTTGCTATCTTCATTAAGCACAACGATACACCTATTGTCAAAGGCAACAATCAGAGCCTCTCCTACGTTCTCCTCATCTCACCTCTCTTCTCTTCTCCTTCCTTTCTGCTTTCCTTTTTATTGGTCAGCCTACCATACTGACATGTCTCCTTCGACAAGTTGCTTTTAGCTTCATATTTTCAGTAGCAATTTCTTTTTACCCAAATGTTACATTATTATTTTACATCCTGAACTAAATAAAAGAGAACAGCTAGTGAAGAGGAAATAATAATTTCAAGTTTTCTACTCAGCATTGCTGAGAACTTCATGTTATAAGCAAGATACTTAAATCTGAAAACAAAGTTTATGAAAACATATCAGTCTTATGGAAATTCTTGCAATCTAGAGATATCCTTTGCCTTAAGTGAAAGCATATTTTATGTGATTTATGCAACTAATTCTGCTATTTGTTCACTTATTGTTCTAATATATTGACTATAGCATATTTGATCAAGGATATTTTGTGTCTGAAAGATAGAAATTAACCCCAAAATTAATTTTAAATTTAATCTGCCTATTCTATTCTTTTGGTCACTTATCATATCACAGACATATCTGAGGAAGATTTTTCTCTCTTTATACTACTACACTCCAGAGGAAGATTAACCATGTTCTGAAAGACAGAAATTGATACCAAAGATTAATTTTAATCTGCCTTTTCTGTTCTTTTGGTCACTTATCATGTTGTAAACATACTGTCAGCCCTGAAACCATTTTGGAAATCTTCAGGGCTGCCACAGCAAGGCCAGTTGCAGCTGTGGGAACATGAGCTGGGAGATACAGATTACTGGGTGGGGGGGGGGTGAGTTGTAGCCAAAATAACATTCCTTCCCATGGGAGCCAAGGACATCCCCACCAGGTATTTGGAAGGTGTGGACCAAAGACAGCAAGAGGAGGACTGTGACCTGATTGGACCATGTGATGAACATGTGACTTGGGGGCAAGAACTTTGGGTTTTGATTTGTGTGGGGAATACCTCGGGTCCTTCAGAGTCAGGTTTTCACCAGTATGTGCCAGTATGGCATTCCTAATAAATTCTTACTTTGAATAAACTCCAGGCCTCAGTTTTGATTTCGTTGGGTCTGTTACTTGGAACCCTGACACATACCTGACACATACCTGATAAAGGTAAAAGTTCCCCTCGCACATATGTGCTAGTCGTTCCTGACTCTAGGGCGCGATGCTCATCTCTGATTCAAAGCCAAAGAGCCAGCTCTCTCCAAAGACCTCTCCATGGTCATGTGGCCAGCATGACTAAACACCAAAGCCACACAGATCGCTGTTATCTTCCCACCAAAGGTGGTTCCTATTTTTCTACTTGCATTTTTTATGTGCTTTCGAACTGCTAGGTTGGCAGAAGCTGGGACAAGTAACGGGAGCTCACTAACGACGTGGCACTAGGGATTCACTAACGACGTGGCACTAGGGATTCAAACCACTTTCAATCGACAAGCTCAGTGTCTTAGCCACTGAGCCATTGTGTCCCATATGCTATGTATATACTACTCTACAAAAGAAGATTAACCATGTGCTTTAATGTCTGTGGATACTTCAGTCGTTTGGGTCATGGTTTTTTCAAAGGCATTTTTTTTTTCAAAATGCAACTGGACTTTCTTTGTTTTTCCTTGAAGAAATTTCACTTCTCATCCAAGAACCTTCTTCAGTTTTGAGAACTGAAGAAGGTTCTTGGATGAGAAGGGTAACTCCCAGAATTCCTGAGCCAGCCATGGTAGCTCAGGAAGTCTGGGAATTGAAGTCCACAAGTCATAAAAGGGCCATAGTTGCCCACCTCTGCTGTAAAGCAGAGATATAACTGTACGTAAGTCTAAGTGATATTGCTAACTTTGAGTGCTATTGGCATTTTCATATACATAAATGAGCTGTTTGAAGAGAGGAAAGCTCACACCAAGCAATAAATCTGGAAATGTATAGACCAGGGATGTCAAACTGGATTTCTTCAAGGGCCAGATCAACATTGTAGTTCTCCTCTGTGGGCCAGTGAGGGGGCTGGGGAGTGGGGGGGAATGGGATGGATGCCTCCTGTAGCACCCTGCCACCCAAAATGGGGAACAGTCTGCCCCATTTCCGATCTGAACGGCTTCCTGCAGCACTTTACTGGCCAAAAGTTTTGCCCTCCCTGGCCTCCAGCAGCATTCTGCCGGCCAAAAATGGGTCACACAGAGGCCTCAGGAGGCCCCCGTCTGGCCCGTTTTCAGCCCCCCTGGCCTTCAGCAGCACTCTGCCGGCAAAAAACAGGCCATGCGAGGCCCGTGAGGCTTCCATGTGGCCCCTTTTTGGCCTGCAGAGTGCTGCAGGAGGCCAAAAACAGGCCACATGGGTGCCTCACGCATCCCATTTTGACCGGCAGAGGCACCGCAGGCCAGTCATTTGATATTTCCAGGTTGGCCCCATAGGCCGGATTTAAGCAGCCCGTGGGCCTTGAGTTTGACACCCCTGGTATAGACTGACAAATGGACACAACTTCAGTGTAGAATTTAAAGTGGATCTTCCATGCACAGTCTCTCTCTATCTCTCTCACACACATAATCTCTCTAAAATTTCAAACTTGTTAATTAAAAAGTTATTAATGCTGTATGTTTATGAGTTGAGGTTTCCTGATCTGTAAAGGAAGGATGGAAGGAAGGAAGGAAGGAAGGAAGTACTGTTTACTCCATGTTATGTGACCTTTACATTTGGATTTATTCTAGGTCTACTATTCCCCAGACTTGACAAATGCAACAATATCATTTATTTGTACTTTTCTCTTCGGTAAAATTATAGCACACTATAATTCTCTATGGATAAGTATATCCTCTGCAATTATTAACCTAACAGAGGACTAGTGATCTCATTCTCCCTTCCCACCTCACCGCATCACAGCCATGGAGTATTGCAGTTGCTGAAAAGAAAAAAAAAATAATGACTTTCCAAAGCATCAAAAGGCAAGACAAGAAGCAATGGTTGGAAATTAACCAAAGGGAGAAGCAAGCTAGAACTAAGAAGAAATTTCCTAATGGTGAGAGCAATCAACCAATGGAACAGCTTGTTTCAGAAGTTGAGAGTGGTCCATCACTGGAGGCTTTCAAAAAGACTGGGCAACTATTTGTCTGAAGTGGTATAGGGTTTCCTGCTTGAGCAGGGGATTGGACTAGAAGACCTCTGAGGTTCCTTCCAACTCTATTTTTCTAAGTTTTCGTTTGTAATATCCTATTTATAACTCCTACACTCTTAAGAATTGGAAGAGGAAGAATATGTTCATGGATTTGATCACTGCTTTGGAGTTAGTTTGAAATCTTAGCTTCAAGAAACTAAGTGAACGACTTCTAAAATCAAGACGTGATGGTTGGGGAAGATGTTCTGAGTAACAATGGAAGACCTACTTGATTTGTGTCTCAAAGCAAAACCTTCATACCAGGCTATCCTATTTGTAGCCACTTTATTAGCAGTGCTTCCCCTTAGGGTGGGCAATGTTGCTGCCAGAAGTAACTGCATTTTGGATGGACTTTTCCAGCTTCCTCAACAGAATTATCAGGCTGGAGACCTCATCATTGCAGGAATTATTTCTCAGAGCTTCTTCATTGCTAGTCCTATAACTTTCACAACACACCCCACTTTTGAAGAGTCTGAAGATCACCTGTAAGTGTTTGTGTTTTATTAGGATCATTATTCCTATCAGCCTTATAAAAAGTAGGCATAATCTCACACAGCAGGATCTAATGGGTGTTAGGTTCAGAGAAATGAACAATGCCATCATAAGCTTTTCTTTTCCTCTGCCATGTGACTTAGAATAACTTTATTGTCACTTTCAATGTACACTAATTGGCATACATTAAAATGAAAATTTGTTGCATACAGCTCTCAAAGGATCACCATCTCCAATATACACTACATAAACATGACAAAATGAATACATACATACATACATACGTACATACATACATACATAGAAAATTATACATATACCCACATATATTATATGACCCAGAGAAACAACACAGTCTAGTTCAGATGTATACATATACATGGTGAGAAAAACGAATCTTGTAAGTTTACCAGACAGATGGCATAGAGAACAAAGCAGTTACAGATTCTGGTAGTCCTGCTAGAAATATTTCAAAACCT